CTTCCATTACCCTTTTGACTGGTAGCTGTCAACGTATGAGCTCTGTGACTCAAAGGACTGCCAGTATTAAACATACTATAGAAAATCTCTCAACAGCAGGGCAAAGATCTAAAAAAAAAAGCTGATTTCTGCTCATTAGATGGCCACCACTGGCTCTGTTCTTTATACATATATATGTAGCTCCAATGTGTTACAAAAAGGTGATCTAAGTGGCACTGTGGAGCTTGAGCCTAAAAGACATGATGAATACAATGAAACTTAGTCCATGTAAAGCTCGGCTGGAAGCTGCTTTTAGCTATGCTAACAGCTTTTTATTCATAAGCAAGAAGGCCTTGAACTACTCCAAAGATATATACAAACATATATCCTTCTCTGGGATTTTGCTTCGGGACGTATCTGGACAAATTCAAACACAAACAATATTAAAAAACTGAATACTTTTTTGTAGAGTTTCAGCCTCTTTGTGTCCAAAGAAAAACATCAAATAACTTTTTTAATTACTCAGTTTTAAAATGTTCATTCTATCGTCATTAATAAAATCAGAGTGAAACACAGCTGCACTGAGAAAGAATAATACCTGAAGTGCCCAGCATTATTTCCTCAGGCTAGGGCCTGGCAATCCAGCGTACCTCTCCTAATGTTATTAGACAGATCCTTGTCCAGCCTGTAGTATTTTCTGGCTTGTCTACAGTTTTCCATTGCCTGTACAGAATCATTGTTCAAACTCTGGCACATGACATGCAACATTATGCAGAGATCATTTAGAAAGATTTTTTGAGGCCTCATTCCATTCTCTTGAGAAAAAGAAATAAAGTATATTTTAGACCTGCTTCATCTCCTGGTTAGGCAGAATCTACTACTTACAAAACCTGAAACTCAACTATTTCAAAAAGCTTCTAAATCTGTTTTTAAATAAACTTAAACAAAACATTGTAAATGCTTTCATTTTGTTTATCTCCTACTACCATAAAAGTAGCAACTCAACGTCATGTGTCCTCGAAGCACTGTTGATGTGTCAGTGTCTTTGCTGATATCCCATTTCTTTGCAAAATCTCATGAGTAATTTTCTCATATTAATCTTTCCCCTCTGTTCAAATTGGATTGGAATATACAGTTCTACTGCACTCTTATGATTCTCATTGAAGTATCGTGGGATCAAAAAATTTCAGAGAGCTGTGTTCCTCTTTAGTTCATATTGAATATCTAAAATATAATGTAAAGGGTAGCAAATTACTTTAAAAAAAATGTATCTTTCACAGAAGAGGTTAAAATCTCTCACATTCACTACTGTTCTAATGGATGCCTGGCTTCTAGGTCCTCCTAGTGACATTTTCAGCTCTGTTGTGTGCAGATACCAAAGAAACTTTTATTGGAGGCATCATCAAAATGCTGAAGAGATGCAGTTTATTTCGTTCCACTTACTGGGTACACTGCCTAAACTAGGATCAACACAAAAACATCCTTTTCCAAACACCACAGTCATCCTGTTCCTAGCTAGCTACTGACTCTATCCAAAATGAAACCATTAACTTCTAATTTATTTATTCAGTCAAGCCTGGAGTTAATCTGCTTTAGCAGGGAGAAAAGACAAATAGACAAAAAACATATTTTCCACGACAAATAATTTAGCATGCAGCACTATTTCAAATAATCTTGACTACATATGACAGAAATAAGTGAGTTATGCCAGACACTTTTTGAGCATGTCAGAAATGGTGTATTAATATGCACTCAGTAAGATCACATACCCAATAAACTAAGCACCGTTTGCAGATTAATGGATTTTAAGGCTAGAAGATTAGTAGATCTCTTATTTTACTCTGTGGTATCTTTCCAACCAGTGAATTTCCAACAATTATTTCTGCCTACTTATAAGATGCAGGAGGAGCAAATAACTTATGTATGGTTATAGCAAATCTTTCAGAAAGGCACTCAGTTATGATTTGGAAACTTGAAAAAGTAGAATATCCATCACTTTCTTTGGCACTTTTTAAAATACTTAATCACCAAGAAGTTATGCTGAGCTTTTAATTTGAATGTGTTTGGATTCAGCTCCTAGCTACAGGTCTGTCTTTCTCTACTAAAGCACTTTTAAGAGCCAGTATTTTCTCTCCATAGGGAGGCTTCTTCACTACAATCAAGTTGCCTCCTTATCTTCCTTTTCAAAAAACAAATTACACTTTTTTGCAGAGCTATTTTTCACTCAGATCACTGAAATGATCTTGATTATAGCGTGGTCCCACAAACACGACAGAGGTCATAGTAGATTGCAAAAGTGTGGTAGAAATGAATGACAGAGGCCAATTTCTTAAACTCGTTTTGCTGCCAAGAAAAGCTACATGGGATAGATCTCTAAGTCCCTTACTGTGTGCCTCGTCTCCAGTCCTCAAATAACGTTTGCTGCTGTTCTTCACAACTGATGCAAGTTCATCTATTTTAAACATGGATGCCTACAAGAACTGAACAATATTCTTATTTAGTCCTGAGCTCTGAAAGCCTCCACCCATTTATTGTGATGTGTCAGACAGCAAGATCTTAACCCAAATAACGTGTCCTTCATCAATATAGTGCTACTGTGATATTGGTATTTAAATGAGAGAGGCATGTGTCATTAATGAGGTAGTATACAACCAATTTGCTATAAATAATTCACTTTCCTGAATGCTCAAAGTACTCATCCACATATGCAATATTAACTAATGTCTATATTCTAATCGTAACAGTTTGTGCTACTCTTACAAATATAAGGTACATCTTCTATGCAATGACACTATCAGAAGGGACTAGCAGCACTGCCCAGGCCAAATGCAGCAGAGTAATAGGAATGAGAGTGAAACTGCAATGGAAAGGTACAGGTTTGAAGAACAGGTTTTCAAGAAAGGCTGCGAGAGCTGGGCCTGTTCAGTCTGGAGAAGAGAAGACTGAGAGGCGATCTCATCAGTGTGTACAAGTATCTGAAGGGGGGGTGTCGAGAGGATGAGGCCAGACTCTTCTCCGTGGTGCCCAGCAACAGGACAAGAGGCGATGGGCAGAAACTGAACCACAGGAAGTTCCATCTGAACCTGAGAAAAAACTTCTTTCCTGTGAGGGTGACAGAGCACTGGAACAGGTTGCCCAGAGAGGTAGTGGAGTCTCCTTCGCTGGAGATATTCAAAACCCTTCTGGATGTGGTCCTGGGCAATATGCTCTAGAGGAGCCTGCTTGAGCAGGGAGGTTGGTCTAGATGATCTCCAGAGGTCCCTTCCAACCTAAAGGTTGGAACAGACAACGGTTTTGCCAGGTAGGTTAGCATAACTGACAGCTGCGTTAAGGTGCTGAGACTTCTTCAGAAAAACTGTCCTGGGCTAAACAGCCTTGACTCAGGCAATTTTACTTAATTTATTTTCAGTTAACACACACTTTAAATTACGATTTGGGTATTGCGAAAGAAAGAAAACATAAACAATTAAACACTTAGGGAAACAGCTTTCTCCTCCCTTCCCCAGGCTCAACTTCAAGGAAACACCTCTCCTCCGCCCTTCCTAGTCCCAACTCCCTTGTTTTTGCTGTGCATTAACTCGACCCCTCCGACTCCCTCAGCGAGGCGACAGGCAGCGCAGGAGGTTGGCGTCGTCTGCGTAACGGTTTCTGTCTGCGGCTCCCTCACTCTCCGCCTTCCGCCCCGGCGTGGGTCACCCGCGCCTGCAGCCCCCTCAGAG